TTAAGCTTTTGTTTCATAAAATTTGAATGTGATTAGTTTGAATCTGGATGGAGGGATGCGTTTGAACAGACTTTTGATCGAGTATGAGATACTCCGGTTGTTCTAACCGTTAGATCTTTGTTTTAAAATACAAAAACCAAGATCTAACGATTAAAACACTCAGAGTATCCATTTTCTGGAGCACCCTAGGATTTTTTATCTGAATGACGGCTACCTGAATTTTCGGATTTATATTAAATGATGATGAAAAAGTATTAATAAGTGAATTGTGTTGCTTAGATATGCGATAATTTGCTGTAAACCTGTGTTATAAGCTATATAAGTTTGTGTAAACAAAATTAAAAAACCCAAACTTGGTCCTTTCAATACTCATCAATAGCGTGTTATTGTAAGGAAATGAATCTGGATGATAGTAGATCGGGAGAGCCCTGGCTCTCTTCGCGTTAGAGGTGTTCGCAGTTGCAGGGTATTACGCGTAACTTAAATTTTGTGACTACCTCGTGATTTTCGTGATGATGATGGATATTTTGTTTTCCTTTTTGTTGTTTTCTCTTTTTGCTTGGTTATTCGAGAGCCACATCTTTTGGTGCTTGTAGTGACGAAGACCATGTGTTGGGATTATCTTTTGGTTCATTTTTTGTTTACGTTTTTCATGTGAAAACAAGGAGATCCGTTACGTTCCTTTGTTTGCTTGCTTGCATTAGTTGTTTGGTTTGATACCAATTTAATTTATGGCATGCTTGTGTAAGTGAATCCAACTTCTTTGTTTGTTACTGGTTTGTGCTTAATCGTATTCATAATATATGTTCTTTAATTGAATTATCATTACTTCTAGTTCAATGTACCTGATTTATGATTTGCGACAATTGGGGGGTTAACTGAGTTATTGTAATTTATTGTAGTTGCAGCGTTGACATTTCAGGGTTTAGCATCCTTGATCGGCAAACCTTGGCTTTCAGAAATTTAAAGCTAATAACTGTGCGCAAAAGGAAATCTTATAAGGACTGTGTCGGTCCTAATGGGGATCTTTGAGGAAATGGGTTTCTGTGGTAATCTTGACTTTCTTACGGCGCCATCTGGGGAAGGTGATGCAGCTCCAGAGCATGAACCAGAGGCAGCAGTGGAGGAGGATTATAGTGATGAAGAAATGGATGTTGGTGAGCTTGAGAGGAGGATGTGGAGAGATCGAATGCTATTGAAGAGGTTGAGAGAACAAACTAAGGGAAAGGAAAAGGTTGACAATGCAAGACAGCGTCAGTCACAAGAACAAGCTCGGAGGAAGAAGATGTCACGGGCACAAGATGGAATCCTGAAATATATGCTGAAAATGATGGAAGTTTGCAAAGCTCAGGGTTTTGTTTATGGAATTATCCCTGAAAAAGGAAAACCAGTGAGTGGCGCCTCTGACAATCTGCGAGCATGGTGGAAGGAAAAAGTAAGATTTGATCGTAATGGTCCGGCTGCAATTTCTAAGTATCAGGCAGATCATTCAATCCCTGGGAAGAATGAAGACTGCAGTGCAGTGGTATCTACTCCTCACACTCTACAGGAGTTGCAAGACACCACTCTTGGTTCACTTTTGTCGGCTTTGATGCAGCACTGCGATCCACCCCAAAGACGTTTCCCCTTGGAGAAAGGTGTTGCCCCACCTTGGTGGCCTACTGGTAATGAGGAATGGTGGCCTCAATTAAATGTGCCCAAGGATCAGGGTCCACCCCCATACAAGAAGCCTCATGATCTGAAGAAGGCTTGGAAGGTGAGTGTTCTTACGGCTGTGATAAAGCACATGTCACCCGATATTGCCAAGATCCGCAAGCTTGTTCGTCAGTCCAAGTGTTTGCAAGACAAAATGACTGCTAAGGAGAGCGCCACTTGGCTAGCCATTATACATCAGGAGGAAGCTTTGGCGCGAAGGTTATATCCTGATAGATGTCCACCTCCACCGGCTGGTGGTGGCGGGTCTCTTGCAATCAGTGGTACCAGTGATTATGACGTTGAGTGTGTTGATGATGACGAAAATGTTGAAATAGAGGATTGCAAACCTCTTGTTAATCACTTCAACATTGGAACTGCTGGTCAAAGAGAGAGGCTGGCACCTCAGATTAAGGGAGAGCTGATTGAGATCAACTCGGATTTTGGTCAAAAGAGGAAGCAGTTGTCTGAAGAGCCACAAATGATGTTAAATCAGAAGATTTTCACCTGCGAATATCTTCAGTGCCCGTATCATGATTATCACCTAGGCTTTCTCGATATAACTGCAAGAAACAATCACCAGTTGAATTGTCCATTCCGGAGTAATTCTACACAAGTGTTTGGAATGTCAAGCGGAATGTCTGGCTTTCAGCTTCACAATGAGAAACCTGTGGGATTCTCTCTACCCATTGCTCAACCACCTGCACCAGCAAGTCAACCACCAGTGAACCAGGCAAGTAGGTTTAATGCTTCGGGACTTGGACTTGTCGATAATGGTCAGAAATCTGAACTTATGTCATTTTATGATAGTAATATTCAGCAGAATAAGAACTGCAATCCTGCAAACCTCCATATCGTAGATAACCGCAACTCGCAGCAGTCAAAATACCAGTTTCCAATGAATGACAACTTTTTTGGTCAAGGGGTGGATGTAGGACGCAACATCAACATGTCTGAACTGGCCCCTATGCCTATGCTTCATCCAGGTTTTGCATCCCCGGAAGTTCAGTTTGATCAGTGCATGGCATTTGATCCTCCATTTGGTAACAATACCAATGAAAATGTTGACATAAGATTTGAGTCCCCCTTGCACTTGGCACCAGTTGATTATAATGTTATGGACCAGCCGCTGAAGCAAGATGCATCCATTTGGTTCCAATGAAGCGGGGTTCTCTCATATTGACTGCTCCAAAATATGTGTTGGAGTTGCACAGTTGCGGACCAAATAGGTGAAGTTTCTTTTAAGTTTAGTTGCTCTTCTTATATGTCGGACTTGTTAGGTTCTTTTAGACTGTTCCAATCTGTGGGGGTGGCGTCATTTGTTCTGGAACAAATAGACGAAGCTTGTTTTTATGTTTAGTTGCTTATATGTCTGTCGGAACTTCTTAGAAGTTTATAACCCTCAAAAACTCAGGGGTTCTCGGACTGCAACTTTCTCATTTAAGTATAGGTTATCTAGTTGCAGTATTGAGTAGAACCAATAAAGGACCGGAAAACGCAATCTGATGTTCTGTGGTTGGAAACATTTTTCCGGTTTCTGAAAGTCAGTGTTGGCATGTAGTTAAGTAATGTGTACTCAGAAGACATCTATATATGTGGCGGTTTTTATGTACCTTTTGCTTGTTTCTTCTGCTGTCAACAGTATTCATTCTAAGTGCTAGATTTGCCTGCTATCATCTATTCTTCCTGTACATTGCATCACGTACACCGATGTACTGGAGGAATCTTTGTTGTCGAAAATTCTACACTGCATCGATGTATGGAGTGCATCGCTTTAGTGGATGCTGGATGGCTAGATTTGCATGCTTTAATCTTAAACATTCGTATGTAGTCTTGTTGCATAAGCAATGCCTGTATCATGGTGAGAGAAACTTACACATCGCGATGAGAGGTGAATTGGTGGCTATGCTGAAATTGCACCATGCAGAGAGACTCACAGGCAACCAAGTATCTGGAGCTTACTAAATGTCATCATCATTTGCTTTAACTTATTCATGTACCGTTGTGTGATTAATTTTGAATATTGTCGGTCACATCAGCGTCCCAGATGCTTCTCTCTTTATTTATTCAAATTGTTAGATTCTCTTCACCAAATAAATGATAACGATTGGCAATAGTAAAAACCAGAAAAGGAAAGAGATGAATTCTTTTCTCATTGACTCTTGAGTCTCCCTGTTCTTATTTAGGTCTAGTTCAAGTCGTATACGCATAGAAAACAAGCAAGAAAGAAAGCAATCAGTTACTGCTGCTGCTGCTGCTACAAATCATCATCCATCACCCCAAGCAGCCAAGGCATCCACCGGCAACGCCGTTCCGTTCTGTTTTGTTGACTTCATCACATTTGCATTCTTCCTCTACCCGATTCACGACATCTACAAACCAAACCTCGGGATCGCAATGACTATTTATTAGATTTGTGGCTTGACAGAGTGAGCTTTAGGCAACTTCTTTTCATTTGTTGGGGTTAGGCCTCTGACTCCTTTACTTGACCCTCAAGAGATACGCTTGAGATGGGCTTCGTATAAATCTCACTTGTTGAGGATAGTTGCACAGTGCGGCTCGTAAGCCCAAATCGTTTTGTCAAAAAATCAAATTAGTGTTAAGATATTTTTGTCATTTTATTTTTAATTCAATCAATTTTGAAAATCTAGTTAAATAAAACTTGCACCAAATTTACTTGTTTCTCTCAATCGTTGTCCCAATCTTTGTGAAGCAGCCACTTTACCGTATGCTCATATATATATAATTAGGATTCTATAGGCAACGAGGCATGACCATTAGTAAGTACAAACTCCATAATCGATACGATTTTTTTTTTTTCAATACATAGCATGAATGATACAGAAACTGAATAGCTGATATTAAAAATTAAAGATCTAAATATCTGTAAAAGTAAAATTTAACAGCTAAAATATTTGTATCATTATATGATACGTAGCATTGACGTCACACCGAATAAACAAATAGATATGCGTATATACATACAAAACCTACGGAATTGGATCCCCTCCTGAGCAAATGGTGGGGATCCTCATGACCTATTAACACGGGCCGTTGGATTTTGATCCAATGGCTACAAAGTAGGGATCTTTCTAAAAATTATAATAATTGTAGCTGTTGAATCAAAATCTAACGGTCCGTATTAGTGGGCTACGAGGATCCCCACCATTTGCTCAGGAGGGGGTCCAATTCCAAAACCTACTACAAAATTGACGTGCGCGCATGACATACGTGGATATTATTAGTTGACTGTGTCTGTCTTTTCTTGCTCAGCAATTAACTTGTACAATATATTCCCTCCCTTCCCGTATGAATAATTCCTCCATATTTTATGCATTAAACAAGTTGAAGAAACTTCTCGCAAGCTGATGTCAAACGATACCAATTTGTCCTTTCGACAATATTAAAAACACCATTTGTCTCTGCAAGACTACTTCCTTCCTTCCTTCTCATCAGCTTCCAAGATTCCATTTCTTCCCTCTCGGTTCGGTCTCTGCTTTCCCAGTTCGATTTCATCAAGGTTTGTTTGACTTCGTCTTCATCGGAATCGTAACCATGGGACAAGAAACAAGAAGACTTGCAGATGAGTATGAGATATCAGAGATTTTAGGCAGAGGAGGATTCTCTGTGGTCAGAAAAGGCATCAGCAGAAAGTCAAGCAGCAGCAGTGACAAAACCGATGTGGCAATCAAAACACTCAAAAGGCCGTTTGCACCCTCGAACCCTCCTCCTCTGCCTGCCCCACGCCCGGAGGAACGACCAGAATAGCTTTGCTGCTGCCGCTTTCCAAACCCGGAAGCAGGTGTCCATATCGAATGTGCTGCTCACAAATGAAATCCTGGTGATGAGGAAGATAGTTGAAAATGTGTCACCGCACCCGAATGTGATTGACCTCTATGATGTGTACGAGGATGAGAACGGGGTTCACCTTGTGCTGGAGCTATGTTCTGGAGGGGAACTGTTTGATAGGATTGTGAAGCAAGAAAGGTATTCCGAGGCTGGAGCTGCAGCTGTGGTGAGGCAGATTGCAAAAGGCTTGGCAGCTCTTCACCGCTCGAATATTGTTCACCGGGACTTGAAGCCGGAAAACTGCCTCTTCTTGGACAAAACCGTTGATTCTCCGTTGAAGATTATGGATTTTGGGCTGAGTTCTGTGGAGGAGTTCACTGACCCTGTTGTGGGACTGTTTGGTTCCATAGATTATGTGTCACCAGAGGCTCTTTCTCAGGGTCAAGTAACTTCCAAGAGCGATATGTGGGCTCTTGGTGTAATCTTATATATCCTTCTCTCCGGGTATGTTCATATTTTTTGCCTGATTTTTCCGGGCAACCAAACAGAAGACGGTAGCATTAGTAGCGTATAAAGCATATTACAACACAGAAATAATATGATTTTCTTTTTAGGCACCCACCTTTTATTGCTCAGTCGAATCGGCAAAAGCAACAGATGATTATGGCTGTAAGTAATTAGCATTGACATTCTATTAGAACGCAGAAGTCAGTATGTTTTGATTTGTCTAACGGTTTGTTCAAATTAAAAGAGAAAATGCTTGTGGTCCTGCAGGGAGAATTCAGTTTCTATGAGAAAACCTGGAAGGGGATTTCTTTGTCAGCAAAGCAATTGATTTCGGACCTCCTCAAAGTCGACCCTGACAAGAGACCTAGTGCTCAAGAGGTAGGGTTGGAAATCTATGCAAGAGATTAAGCATCAACAAACACAACTAAAATATCGAGAGAATGTCAACATCGGTCTGAGCTATATAGAAACTAAATGAACTCTTATAGTAGTTCTTGGTATCACCAAAATGCAGTCTCCTAGATTTGTTAGCCGAACTAATTTATTTCTTGTGTTGAACAGCTTCTGGACCATCCATGGGTTGTCGGTCTTTCAGCCAGAGAGGATCAAATGGATGCTGAGATTGTATCGCGACTGCAGAGTTTTAATGCTCGGCGCAAACTGCGTGCTGCAGCAATAGCAAGCGTGTGGACAAGCTCGATTTTCTTAAGGACAAAGAAGCTAAAATCGTTACTAGGATCCTATGACCTTAAACCCGACGAAATCAAGAATCTGAGTTCACATTTTAAGAAAATGTGAGTAGCTAAAGCACATTTTGCACCTTCCTACTTTGTCTGTGAATGTGATGTTAAAAATGTAGGTCAGACAGAATTATCAGTACTTTGGCATACAGTTTCTGCTAAAAATTTGCATATATGGTAGTAGCAGTTATGTGAATCACATCCCTACGGAAGTTCAGTTTAAAGACTAACTAATCGTACTGGTAACTTACCGAGAGAATCAAACGAAAAATGGCTTTCTGTTTAAGTGATTAACTTAATTCTCCGATAATTCAATGTTTATAATTTCTGATCAATAATGCTAATATTTCAAAGTACAGATGTGTAAAAGGTGACAATGCTACTCTGTCTGAATTCGAGGAGGTTCTGAAAGCAATGAACATGTCGTCTCTAATCCCTCTAGCACCCCGAATCTTTGACCTATTTGACAACAATCGTGATGGCACCATTGACATGCGAGAGATACTGTGTGGGTTCTCTAATCTCAAGAACTCACAAGGAGACGATGCTCTCCGCCTATGCTTCCAGGTGCACTTCTTCTGTGTTTTCATTTAGTACAAGTACATAAATGAAAACTCACTCTAACCGAACTAGTTTGGACCATAAAATTTCCTGAGAAAATAACCCTTTCTCACTTAAAGAAACTACTACTAATCGAAAATCATATATATATATATATATATATATATATGTAAGTATATATGTATGTATGTATGTATGTATGTATATTATGATCCATAGTTCTTCTCTATTGCTCTGCCTAATTCACTGTCATTATTCATTGAACCATATTCTAACAGTCCAACTATTCTGATTCACAACCAGATGTATGATACGGATCGGTCTGGATGCATCAGCAAAGAAGAGGTAGCATCTATGCTCAGGGTAAAGTCTCTTTCCCTATCACTGCAATTCATATCACACGGTGTATCCTGGTTGTTCGTTGTTTTCAAATAAGATTATGACCAAATAAAACTATACCTCGCAGGCTTTACCAGATGACTGCCTTCCAGCTGATATCACCGAACCTGGAAAACTAGATGAAATATTTGATCGGATGGATGCAAACAGTGATGGAAAAGTTACCTTTGATGAGTTCAAAGCTGCCATGCAGAGAGATAGCTCTCTCCAAGATGTAGTCCTCTCCCATCTTCGACCAATATAATTTTCCCACTATCCACATTTTTCGCCGTCAACTTTTTCAGTGAACTGTGGAAGTTAATTTCTTTCTGTATTTGGAAGACCAGTGACCAGAATGCTGAAACTAAACTGTATGTCAACTTCTGCCATGCAAAGTAGGAACGCCTTGCTGCTTTAACTTACAGTGCAAGGAAAATAGAAAATCCAAGGTAGTCTACTTAGCCTGGCTAAACTGAGGAAAATTTCAGTAGCAGCAATGACGAAAGCCGCTCCAAGTTCATTTTATCGTTTACGTTCTACAAGCCATAGAAGATATGCTGTTTAGGGCTGAGTTTTTGTTTAGCTTTAAGGTGTTTTATGTTATCAAGGCATGTATCAGAGTTAAGTGAAACTTACATTATCCGACTTGAAAGAACAAATCTAAGCTGTGTCTTCCTTTCAAAGAAGAAAACAGTGCATCTGCACACCAAACAAGGCAGATAACACATGTAACAAATACTTTAGAAGAAGGCGCATCTGAGATTTATAAATTTGCGTCACATCAACACCATTAGAAGAAGAAACAAAGAAGTTCGATGGAGTAAGAAGCATTGAGGGTGCTAGTAATGAGACTCGTAATTTTGATCGTTGTTATTGCGTCATGTAACTCGTTCGCACTGAACTTTTCTTATCTAACTATATAACTGTATAACCAGTCGATTACAAGAGATGAAGCAACCAAAACTTGTCCATATAAGAACAAGATACAAGCACAATGCCACACGAAATTAATTGGACTCATCCCTCGTTGACTAACTTTGGACAATTCAATAACCATAAATATTTGCGTGTTAGAACAGAGAGCTGCTTTTCACACACCCCTATTTTTTTATGGGCATCGAATTGAATAAATCAAACGAAAACAACAAACATGTCATGTTTGAACAAATCCTAAGTTCGCAAGTATGTTTATCATTTCCCTCAGAGAGTACTTAATCTGTGTGCGTGTCTGTGTGTGCGCGCGAGAGAGAGAAGGACCTTAGCATCTATAACAAACTCCATAAATGCTACTTTTTGCTAAATTTGAAGTGCCATGTAGGATTTTTTTGCTCTGACTGGCTTGATACTCAGGGCATATATATAAGCTCAAACCTAACTAGTTTCCTCTTTAGTACAAAGATATTCTACTGCGCTAAGGATATGTGAAGAATTTGAACGCGGGATGTAGTGATTTGAAAAAAGAAAAGGAATTAATCATCATGGTATTCACCACTTATAATGTAACTCGTTTCTTAAACAAGTCAAATCTGAACAAAACTAGATCGAAAAATGCATGGCATGACATGCCAACCCTCTTATTATGGCATGCCAAAACATCTTTGTTGACCCTGACATGACAAGCGTCGAGAATTATTAGCAGAATGCATGTCATGACGCGTCATGCATTCTATCAACAATTCGCGAGACTTTTTATGCCATGCCACGATGGAAGGGTTAGCGTGTCAAGACAAGCCATGGCTCGTCAAGACATGTGACATGTCATCGCATGCCAACAACGATGTTTTGACATGCCACGATGCAAGGGTTAGTGTGTCAAAATTTAGAAAAATGCATGGCATGCCACGCAAACCCTGGCATTGTGGAACGCAAAAACATCGTTGTTGGCCCCAACATAACAAGTGTCGCGAATTGTCGACAGAATGCATGTCAAGACACGCCATGCATTTTGTCGACAATTCGTGCGGTGTGTTATGGCATGCCACGATGGGCAGGTTAGTGTGTCAAGACAGGCCATGGCTTGTGAAGACATGTCATGCCTTGCATTCTGGCGACAACTTGCGAGGCTTGTTATGACATACATTTTTCTAACACTTTGCCTACCATTTCGAAATAATTTAAGAAAAAGGATCTTGGAAAGAGTAGATCCCGCGGCCTAAAATTATTTTTTTAGAAATTAGTACAAAACAGGACAGTAGTCATATATGAACGTGTTCTTACCGGTAAGAACACTTTCATTATTAGAGCTAAAAATTAACACTTGTTCTTACTTGTAAGAACACGTTCATTAGTAGAGTTGAATATTTGCAAGCGTTCTTACCAGTAATAACCTTTGTAAATTTGCAGCTCAATCAGTGAATGTGTTATTACCAGTAAGAACCCTTCATATATAACTGCCTACTATGTTGTAGTAATTTCCAAAAAAATAATTTAAGGCCTCGAGGTCTACTCTTTCCTAGATCTTCTTTTTTTTTTTTTTTTTTTTTTTTTTTACATGCAATTTGCCAACATTTTACCTACCATTTTGAAATAATTTAGAAGAAAGGCTAGTGTCAAGGCTAATAGCGATGTTTTAGCGTGCCACAATACGAAAGTTAGCATGTCAAAGTGTTAGAAACTCGTTAGCACCCGTTAATTGAGTGTGTTTGTGTAATTTCAATAAAGTCGTAAGTGTTGACTCTTTGTCTCGCACTATCGCACATATCGCACATACTCCGCTATTTGTGCTCATGTTCGACCCTTGCTTTTGGTTCCCTCTCGCTCTCTACTCTCTCTCCATTCTTCTCTGGCCCATCAAATTTTGCAGGAAGAGTACATCGACATGTAAATTAGGTTTTTCAATTTGGGGATAGTGTCAAAGGATTGCCAATTGCAAGACTTATCAACTTTGCATTTAGACTCATTAGCTTAACAGGTTGGATTTGAGTGATCACTTAGCTTAATGGGTTAGATGTGGTTAAGCAATTAACGGGTTGGATTATATATTATGAACATGTGCAAACTTCTTTTTGTAAAGGGTTTTTATCACAAATGGTCTCAGAAATTGACTCATCCCATCAAGATGATTTTTAAAATTGAAAATATAGTCCCTGAAAATTGGTGTCATAAATCAATGTGTGGTCTTTCCGTTATAATTCTGTCAAAAATTTTGTTATGTACTAACGTGGCAAATAACTAGGTCCTACAAATCTAATTAAATAATATTATTTAAATATTGAAATAAAAATTTTCATTTTTAGAAAAATATATAAAATAAAAAATAAAAAATAAAAAAAAAGATGATAATGATCTTCCCCTCCCTACCAACCACCCCAGACGGCCATGCATCTGAAATCAGAATAAGTGCAGTCGAGGATGGCTGATCAGACGTGCGAAAACGGTAGAGGAAAGCACACCGTCTTCTTCTTCTTGCGAATCTGGGAGTAGGTCTTGGTGAGGGAGTCAGTGACTCAGGTCGCCGGCGTGCCATTATTGGCGTGTGACAAAGCACCAAAGCTTAAGAGCAACTCCAGCGTTGGAGCCCTCCCCTAGGCTATTCACTATTCAATCCACCTGGTAAATAGTAACTGCCCTTAATGAACAGTAATCACCTTTTGCATCTCCACCGTTACACTTCAATAGCCCTGACAATAGGCAATAAAATATTAGTATTTTTTTATTTATAAAATAATACAAAATAATTTTAATTGTAATTTCGGATAATATTTTTAATCGTTCTCGTTGCGCCACGTATCATTATCTGAAGTATTATTAAATAATACAAAATAATTTTATTTGTAATTTCGGATAAAATTTTTAATCATTATCGTTGCACCATTTGTCATAAAATCCAAAAAAACAATTATTGGGGATGGATTTCCGATAAGATTTTTAATCGTACTCGTTGTGTCATGTGTCATTATCCCAATTTGTACCTACATCAGTAGTCATTTTGTTGAAAAAAAATGGATTGAAACTTTGAGAGAAAGAAAGGAATGTGATTGAAAGTAGTTGACAAAATATGAAATTGTGGTGTAAGGTAGATGATAATGAGAAGCTATTTATAGAAAAGTAAAAACATTTTTTTAAAAAAAAAATTTCAGATTTTTTTTTGAATTTTTTACAATTTTTTTTACAATTTTTTACAATTCATTTAAATTTTTATTCAACTAATTAATTTCTGCCGTTGGATATAAAAAAATTTGAATTCCAACACTCCAGATCGTGCCACGTGTCACAACTGTAACTTTTTTTAATTTTAAAACTATTTTTTCTTTTATTTATTTATTTATAAAGCATATTAATATCGACCGTTGATCTCAGATCGAACGGTGGATATTAAATAAGACTTTCTTTTTTTTTAACCGTTGAGATCGAATGGACCGTGGGAAGCCATGTGGCTTCCCAACAGTAACTTTTGAATCTGAAAAGGGAGCTGATTTTTCTAAAACTGTGTCGGCGACGCGCCCCCACAACTAGTGGGGTGCACGCGCCTGACAGAAAAAAAATAAAAAAAGGTCTGACGCCAGGCTGACGTCAGCCCTGGCGTCACATCCACTCGGGATCTCGGGCTGGCAATTCCTCACAGGCCCGGAGCTCGGGCCTCCACCTCCACTCGGGCTCCTTCACGCTGGAGCCGGTCCACAGGGCCTCGAGCCCCTTTTCTCTAGCCTGTCCCCCGAGCATCCACCTACGGTGGAGTTGCTCTAAGAAAATTGGATGTCCCCAAAGCGATTCAGGTTGCGGACTGATTGCGTTGCAGGGAAAAGTGAGGATGAGGGTAGGGCTTGGGATGTTGCATTTTGTGGCAATGTATGAAGGGAAGAAGTGGTTGCTCGGGGTGCGTGCACGACGGGGTGGGGTTGGGCTGGTCGCTCGGTGGAGGGAAAAGAAGATGATTTGTTTCAATTTTTTTTTTTTTTTTTGAGTTTTTTATTATATAAAATAAAATAAAAAATATTTTATATTATTTAAATATTTTTAATGGCCATATTTAATTATAGTTGGATTCAATCACATAACAGAAATTTTAACAAAATTATGACAGAATGATCATATTGATTTGCGACATCAATTTTCAAGAATTACATTGATCGATCAATTTTTAATTTCAAAGACCATCTTGATGGAATGAGTCAATTTCAAGGACTGTTAGTGATAAAAACTCTTTCTTAAATGAGTGCATTTTTGCTCACAACCATTTGTGTGGTGTATGCTCACCACACTATTTATCACCGTTAGATAAGTTCGAATTTTGAGATTTGTGTTTATTTACCACACGAATCTTGAAATTCAAACTCATCTAACGGTGATAAATAAGGTGGTAAGCATACACCACACTAAATGATGGTGAACAAAAATGCTCCCTCATTAAATAAGTATTGTATCATATGAAATCAGAGGTTGGATGGGAGGGAAATCGCTGACCAATTCTCTAAGTTACAAAACTGAAGCACCCGTCCGAAACTTGAGATACAAAATATATGCCGAAGCCTCAGTAGCACCTGGGCAGTCACAACTAACAATGTGCATATAAATATAACGACAACATTCGAGGATCAATTGCATCTGGACATTCACAACTAACAATGTGCATATAAATATGGGATGTGCTATCCACACATCCCAAATTACTTCTCACACATCCCTTACTCATTTATGTCCGTTGATCTTCTTCAATCCATCCGATCTGACGGCCGAAAATTAGAAAAGTGTGTGATAAGTAAAATGAGGTATGTGAATATCACATCCCATAAATATAACGAAAACATTCTAGGCTCAATTGCATCTGGACAGTCACAACTAACAATGTACATATAAATACAACGAAAACACGGTTACATGGAAACAATTTATATACCTCCTACCTAAAACTAAACAAGACTCCAACTAACTACAAGTAAACCAAATTTCTTCATCCAACACTCAATCAACACGGATCCGTTGGTTATGGGGCAACACATCCTCACTTGTCTATCTCTAGTGCCGCCTTTCATACATCGATAACTTTGATACGGTTATTGGCTTCGGAGCTTGGTAAAGGCATCTTCAAAGCAGATGAAATAACTCTTGTTTATAGACTTTCACATCAGAATGCAGCTCTCTGTTGTCAACACAGATTCATGACAGAGTCACCAATTATAACAATTGTACCAAAATCGAACAAATCCATTTCTCCCAAAAATAACTTCATCATACCGAATAAATACAATAAGTAGGAAATGATATGTAAATGCTAAATTGCTGAAGTATCCTAGTGTGGTTTTGAAGATATCAAGATGGTCTGGACGGTACGAAAACCTTGAGCAGCTGCAGCAGCATGAAGACAGTCAGTTAGACTCGTAGTGAGGTGAGCGCTCATAGAGGCTCCTATTAAACAAACCTAGCAAACAAGAATACTCCAGGCTAACCCTAGGTAGGTTGTAAGACCAATCATCCTTGATTCTCAGATTGTTGTTAGGAAGTTGGATTTTCAGATACTGTTTTTCTCTGCCGGACCAGCCTTTCCAGTTGACCACTCAAAGAGGACAAGTGAACAGAACTCGTACAAGCTTTTGCATTTCAAAAGCCCCGAGTGACTACAACAATCAAGGTCTCAACACCGAGAGCTGACCACATCCTTTATTTTATTTTTTATTTTTATTTGTTAAACTTTAAGCTTCAACGGAAATCTTTACCCTTCAAACCTCAGAAAATTTCAGCATCAGAGAGAGCGATGGAAGCTTGAGAGCAGATAATAGTTTCTACTGCTGTTAGATGTCATAGCGGAATACTCCACCTTCCTAGTTCCCAGATGGTGCAAATACGAGAGATGGGATTGGAAATCCCTCTGTGTTACCAGGGAGCTATAGACAGTTTGATTTTGAATTCATTGAACTTTAGGCATTCACACAAGAACCACCGGGTCAGGGAGGCCACCGTAAAAGGCAATGGGAAAGGCAACTGCACCGTGTACAGTCGTGTGCACAACGGGAGAGCTGGTGACTCTGCCCTACATTGTTCGGCAAGGGGAATATGCCCGCAGGTTCATGGATTCATCCAATTTGGTTTGGTTTTATGTTACTTTAGGGTTTTGAGAACCTACTCTACATATCAAGATTTGTCTTATGCTCTGGAAAAGATGTTCAGCTTTAGCAGGAGATGAATGGGAAAAATGTGTGTCCAAGTGCGTATACTCTCTCTGTCTTATATTAATGCTTTGTGCAAGGAGAGTAAACTCCATGAAGCACGTTTCGTCGAATGTTAATTCAATTTTGGTAAGGTTTTCAAGTGGTGGATTGCCATGATGGTAAGGAATTTCCTTTTCAACCCACTGCTTCTGGCGCTGAGGAGGAGGTAGTAAATTCTTTTTACTGATTATCTGTGGAAATTAACCTTCCTACTGATAAATTCCATGCTGTAGTAAGTACGCTGAAAGACAATATAATACTGGGGAACTTTTTTAAAGTTGTGTAGAGTATTGCGCTGTCTATTTATCTAATGTGATTATCACAAGGTATTTCCTGTAAGGTTTTGGGCGAGGCAGACTAAGAACCTATTTGACATTGTGGATTTGCATAGGCCAGGCAACGTTGAAAAGAAATATTTTAATGTTTAGGTCTCGGTTGGAAAGCTAAACAACTTACGTTATGTGCTTCTCCTATTTGAAGGGTTTAGGTTATACATATAGATATAAACAAGGATTAGATATCAATATTCTAGATGTTTTGGTAGTACGGATGTACGAAAAAGACATTAAAAAGTATTCTCCAATCAACTTGTAACAATATGGCAGAAAGGGATAGGGACAGAACAACGCCTCAAAAGAAATGGAAACCAGAATGCATCAAAATAAGTCATTCAATCATTTCATAATATAAAACCAAAATAGTACTTCAAATAGTATGCTTACATTTGTCATAGCTGCTCACGTATGTAAGTCATTGATCTCAACATGGAGCCTAGTGTATCTCTGGAAACTTGAAACTTGACCTCCATTTCTCCAGAAGTTGTCTTTGTATCTTGAAGCTGAGAAACCACAATAATGTACAATGAACACTTGTGCTGACAAATTTACGGAAAACTGAATAATTTCGTATAAATTTGGATTACTTAAAAATATCATATGTTGAACACTCAGTGCCCTTTTGGTAGACCGGATTATGTGCAATCCAGCTAGCCCACCCTAAATACAATAGGATTATGAATCGCATAAAAAATCTGAGATAACATCCAGGACATATCAGCTTTTGACCAAAAAACAAGGACCCTTTTGGCTTCATCAGAGCTCAACCATCAAATCCCAATGACCGCTATCTCCTCTGGCCGCTTCCAGCCAGCTCTGGCAAGCTTGCACCTCTCTGTTTGTTGTTCGTTGAATGATGAAGTGATGAACTTGGTTTCAGTTTATACTTGGTAGTTGTGACTAGATACGGATTTGTGTATAAACTGAATGTCAGATTTAGGTTTTTTGGTTCTATGACATCCATTCATGGTATCAGAAATACAAAGGAAACGCTTGGGAAAACTACTTAACTGGTTATTCTTTTTTGTTTAATGTGTCTCAGATGTTAACACATTTAGAAACCACGATGATATATTTCCACAAAATGTCACATGATCAGTGATAAATCAATAGAGCTCATTTCATAACCATTTAGTTTTTAGTTTTTAGTTTTTATTTTCCATTTTGTGCTATAGATAGAGGACAAGTATGTGAGTGAAAGGACGAACGAAAAAAGAGTGAAGGAAGGATGGTAAAAGATAAGTGAAAAAAAATCTGTATGGAATGACACAAAATGAAAACTAAAAACCAAAAATTGAAAACAATTTCAAGTTGTATTTCAAGTTTTTGCTTCATATAATCTCCTTCATATCTCCCTCCATCTCTAGCACGAAAATTGAAACTAAATACAAAATAATTATCAAACATGCCCTTAACTTTTTACCAAACAATCTCGTATTCGTCAAATTAATTCCAATAAACTTCTACGAGAACAAACTTCACAATTTCTAAGGAAAAAGAACGTGACGATACATTAAAAAACAAAAGACAGTATAATAATTGTACCCAACTTGTTTAGTGTAACTTCCAATTAGTTAGTTATTGTTTACTCCAACCAAGCTCTTATACTTAAACTCTATTTCTGTTCACCTAAATTTTTATCATTTACCAAACTGAAAAATATGCACTAAGCTGGATGTCAAATTAGCAAAACAAACGAAAACAAAGATTCTAATCCCAACTGAAAAATACAGGGACAGAAAACCCCACAGTTCCAACCACCTCCCTACCATCTATGAGCCAAATTCTCCCTCTAGTCCTCAAAGTATCCATAATGTCACAAATATTTTGACGAGTTTCTTTCCAGATAACAAATGCTCTAAGGGAAAATCTGCTCCCTGCCCCTCATGGAAACAGAGTTTAATGTGACTCAAAGAAGCTGCATCAACCCATACAAATCCTATTCTAAAACCCCAAAACTACCCAACATTAATCGGCTTGCAGAAAGACAAAAGAAATAGGAAACAATATTTTCAAGATACTGTTCACAGCCCCAAAAAACTCTCTGAGCTTAGCATTTCCTACCTTGACCCTTTAGGCATATCTTTTTTCAACCAAAAGTCTGTCTTTCCCTAAAATTTTGCCAACAGGAAATCCTTATTCTGGAAGCCCAAAATCTTACCTCCAAGCTACAGCACAATTCCTGTAACTTAACTTTGTTGAACTAAACCCACAATTTTTTGCAGGATCTGATGCCAATCCTGGATATCAGAGCCATCTCACATTCAACAACTCTCTGTCACAAGTCTAACTGATGCCTATTCAATTGTAAAACTAGGGTGAAGGCCTAGAAATTAAATTGTGATTACTTTAACACAAAGAAAAAACTGTTATAAGATCTCAACATACTGAACTTCCTCAGAAAAATTGATGGGAGATAAGTTGAAATTTTTGAGTTTCCATACCTTCAAATTGATGACAGCAACTCTGTTGGCTGGAGCAGAGAGCTGCTGACTGATATAGGCCATCGATTTTAACATAGGCTCTAGCGTAACCCTTGTTAGCCTAAACTGTACCTCTTTCTCCCCTGCAGGATTCTTTCCATAATCTTGTAGCTACAGGTGGAGTAAAAGAAATTAGAACAGCAAGCCAAGAAGGCTACTCTAGTGGAGCCAAATTCAGCATGCATAAGTTATTTGAAAATACAGCGAGAAGAATAATTAAATGGATTGAACAGAAATAGCACAAATATTTAAATGGTTTTCAAAAGATGATAAATCACTTCTGAACTAAAGTAGCATTTTGTTAAGGAAAAAGTTTACCACCTAAAATGACTTATGATGAGGGGCAATGCATTCAATGGTTAAATTTGACACAACTTTTGAAATAAATAATTCACTGAATCTAGCCCTTTAGTGCATTGTTCCTCAACTTAAATCCCTTAGTTGAGCACTTCTAATGATTAAGGTATCATGAGAATGAAACTGGCTTATATATTGATTTGCCTCATGAACCTGCCTATTAGTCTCAGTGTCTCACTTTACCCCCGAAATTGGATTTGTCTCACTTTGCCCCTTGAAACTGCCAAAATCGATCCATTTCATCCCATTTCCGTTAATTCTGTCTCACGGATAAATGAAAGGCATTATGGACATTGCATACCATGCTGGCAAAGATGAGCTATTGTGGTTGGCGTGGTATGAATTTTTAGACTGCCCTTAACCTCTAAAACTGTCAAATCTCTGCCAATGTGGACATAAATGGGGTGAAATGATTCGATGTTGGCAGTTTCAAGGGGTAATATGAGACAAATCCAGTTTCAGGAGGTAAAGTGACACATGGCGGTTTCAGGCGGCAATTCAATGAATAAGCCAATGAAAATTGTTATACTCTTCTTGAGTGAAATTGAAGAAACCTCCAACATATAGGAAGCAAAGTTAGAAATATTCTTCACATATACAAAATGGATATTCATACCTTCAAGTTGATAACAGCCACTTTCCCAGCTGATGTTGAATTCTTATTTTCTATGATCCATGTCATGGACTTGAAACAAGTAACGACCACCTACATCAAATTTAAAAATTTGAATGGGTCAAAATCCTATATCTTTAGAGAACATATTCAAAACTAAGACTCTCCAGATATCAGGTATAAAATAAACACATAGTCAGAGAAAAAGGTATAAATGGAAACAAACTAAATAACAATAAACCTCCTAGATTCATACCGTGCTATCAAGACTGCCACCATCAGGGTGAATGGAGACAGGAGCCATGCTGGGCTGGTTCAAATCAGCAGCAGGAACTCCTCCATCATTAAGATTAAAGCGATGTGGCAATGCTTCTTGCCAAGGCCACAATGAGGGGGCGATTTCGCCAGGTGGCAATTGGCTTGTCTTCAAACTGTCTTCCTGTGCATTTCCACTTGCCTGAGAGCTAGGAGGCGTGACTTTGGCAACGTTTTTCTTTACAACAGCAATCTTTTTCCCACCCTCTCGTAGAGCACTCATTGCCGCATTGTAAGTCTCTACACCAACTGCCCCTTCTTCTGCATACTTAATGGCTTCCCGACATAGGTTGTTAAAGCGCATAGTCAATGTCTCAATACCTTGCAAATCTGAACTTTGTTCATCTAGTCCAACCCAAGATTTAGCATTTCTTGTCCATCGCTTCAATATGTAATGTGATGGAAGGGTAAGAACATTTGTTACTGTGAAGACAGTCAAAATATGTCTACAAAGGATGCCCGAATATTCAAACATTTGACAGCTGCAGCTTGCTTTTATTTCGGAGACATTTAATATGACCATATACGCCTTATCATCATGTTCATATTTTGCAACCCTGTATTTACTGACTATCCCATCACCCTCAATCTTATTTGCAGTATAAACAAAAGTTTCAACCAATTCCTCTTGAAACTTCGCAAAAACTTTTTTGGTATACAAGTTAGCTGCCTGCTGTTCCATTGGTGAAGGTGTTTTCAGTACAGGTGTAGTGCACATTGTATCAATATCTGCCTCTATTTCTTTTTCTAACGAATGCTCGAGAGCCCTTTCATACTGCTTAAAAAACATAGGTATACTCGTTTGTTGATTCACATAGCCATCAAAAAAAGAACTAATACCTTGATTTGAGGAAATTGCAGCAAAGAAAGTTCCATGAAAATAAACTGGGGCCCATTGCTTTCGAGCATTATACACTGCCTGCAGCCAATCATTTCTCAGTAGATCGTATCTATCAAGAAGGGATGCCCACGATGATTCAAAATCCTCAATTGTCTCCGAAAAGTTGATGCAACTATAAAGTTCTCCATAGAAGGAAGGATGAGCAAGATATATATGAGCCAATCTTTCTTGGCCTTCCCTTAAAATATGCCACTTGCATATACAGTGCCGCGTTTCTGGAAAAACCTGAGCAACTGCTACTTGTATGGCTCTGTCTTGGTCTGTAGTTATAGAAACAGGAGGCTGATCATTCATGGCAGAAAGCCATGTCCTAAACAGCCATGTAAAGTTAGACTCGGACTCATCTAGAAGTAATGCACAACCAAACAAGACCTTCTGACCATGATGATTTACACCAGTGAAAGGAGCAAAGGGGACTTGGTAATGATTTGGTCGATACATTGTATCAAAAATTACAGCATCGCCAAAGTGGTTATAAGCTGTCCTAGATCTTGCATCGACCCAAAAGACATTGGTCATGCGGTTTTCATCATCAAGCTGTATAGCATAGAAGAAGCCAGGGTTTTCAGCTTGCATCTTCTTGAAATAGTTTAGAAGATTTTGAGCATCTCGCCCAAGCATTCTCTTTCGGCTACACGGCCTTATACAGTTAACAGGCCGAAGGATCCTTGCTGAGTGGTTTGGTTCCACAGGGGAGACGCTCCTGCCTCCGCGATTTGGTTCATAAGAGACATGATTACCATCCATGGAAAAGTATGAATCAGTAGTGGCATCCAAAGTCTCAGATGTATTCTTCGTAGCACCAGCAAAGTGTCTACGGGGTCGAAGATAATGGACCTTACTAGGACTTACCATAGAATGGTTGTGGTCCTCAACAAACTTTGTCGCAACCCAACTGTTTGCATCCTTTCTCTCTACACGTAGCATGGCATTGCAGCTTTCTACATTCTTTCGTTTGAATACCTCTCTCGAACATGCAAAGTCCCATGTCACTATAGGTCCATCAGGCTTAGCACGAGTAAACTGGCCAACATGGGTGCTAAAGCCTACATTCCTCGCATATGCATCATACAGAATCTTGGCAGCGTCCTCCGACTCGAATTCCATTCCCACATGTGGCTTAGAATGATCCTGAATATTTACCTCTCTCCCTGAAAAATTTTCATTCACATTCTGCTTTTGACCTTTATCAGGTTCATTGCTTTCTGCCACGTGATGTTCCATGTTTTCTCCCTCAGCATCTACCAACACTTCAGTTTCCATTACAGTTTTCTGAATGATATGAACATATATATCATTCCTTTAGCTCTGACTATGAAGAATCCTCACAATTATGCCAGCTGAAGGGACAATAAAACAAGCTGATTAATTATACAAAAAATTATATATCAACAGAAGGTAGTTATTCTATATAAAAACATCAAAACAAATAAAAAGGTAAAAGATTACCGAGATCCAAACACCAAGGAGTAAGTGGTTGTTCACAAATATCCTGGCCGGGAACGCTCCTTGGAATGAGAAGAGCAGAAACTAGCTGCAAATAACCAAACTTTAATGAATATCCTGATAAATTACTTCACTTTTCCCACTCCAATCCAATTTAGGTGTGTAATAAGAATTCTCGCCAATGTACCATTTCTACCATGATATGCTCACAACACAATTTCGAGAACACGTTGAGGTGCAAAAATCTTTGTTATTCAAATTAAATCTATTAAAACTGAAACAAAACCGAAAATACTCGGGTCACGGTGTTGCATTGATTCCTGATTTCTTGAGTTTACAGAAAAAAACACAAATCATTCATAGTAATTCATTACCTCTCTAATTCAAACAAAACAGTAAGTAAAGTAACATTCAGTTCAGATATCATTTCAAAAACAAAACCAAAAACCTGTTCAATTGGATATTTCTGTGAACAGAAAATGGGATCAAACGAAGCACAGACAAAATTGAAGAATAATTAAATAAATAAAACCAGAGTTTCACCTGGTTTCTTCGAGCCTCAATTTTGGGACTGGGAATTGCAGTGGCATTGCCGCTTGAATTTCCACAGAGTGTTGGAAATTAGGGTTTGTCAAATTGGGCTAAAGTACCTGCAAGAGTATAAGAGCGTAGAGCTCCAATTGTTTCTGTTAAGGGAGTAGCAGAGTGCGAGTGCATAAAGTATAAGCCCCAAACCAAAAACCCAGAAAAAAAAGAGGGTGTCGCCGTCGTCCTCGTCACTGCTGCACTCTCTGCCTTCGTTTTTTTATTTTTTTTAATTTTTTGGGTTGACATTTTCACTCTCCATCTCTTAATTTTTTTCACTGTTTGGTAATTATTACGTGTACGTCTGGTGCACGTGTACTGTTGCCAACAGCGATGCTGAGTACTACAGAACATTTTTTAACTAGATATCAAATTCATAATTGTCGTGTTTATTATGATGTAATGATATTTCTCTTTACTTGTAACTTATAAATATTAGGTTCGTTTCTCGTTAAATACGAATTTAAATTACATTATTGTTAGCATATTGTGAGCCCACTCTTTATTTCCCTTTGTGTAAGATAACATCGTTTGTTTTAAAAAAAAAATCGTACTTAGGAAATAATTCAAACTACTAAGAACTCATATGGAACGGGTTTGTCGTTACTATGGTTTTTTTTTGTTTTTTTTTGTCTAATAATACATTGTTATGTGCAAGTTTTTCTCCACATAACAATATATTATTGAATTGAGACGCCACGTGACGGTAAACTCATTTTATGTAAGTTGTTCTCCAGATTAAGACCTCTCTTGACAAAAAAGAGAGAGCAATGATATACATCTTGGTCTCACTCATAGTCAAGAGTCCTGGAGGACTTATTTATCCTCACTAGGAGGGTGAACCAAAAGTGTGGGATGAACTTGATGAGAATATATGGTGCAAAGGTATGAATAGCTAGGGTTTTGGAAGCAAAGAGAAAGAAAAATGCAATTGTTCCAATAATATTGTGTATCAATATAAAAATAAAAAAAAATAGTGTTATTCACACACTCATTTGTTCTTTTTATATACTCCTTGATCCCACAGTCAAAAATTAAGAATGGTGTGTGAGAAGTAAAAACAGTCATCTGGATAACATTGCCTATAAAGTTTCAGGTTTAGTTAGTGAGCCATAAGAGACCCTTTGCAATTGGGATTAAACAAGTAAACAAGTCACTTAGTACTACGGTTTGATAGTACTCCCACATAATATGAAACCAATGATCGAAAGAAGTAGGTGAGATTGCTACATTGGATTTAAAGCATGCTCCGAGGGCGGTTTTGCGTCACAGATGGAGAGGTTTTCTCCTTTCTTGTTTTAGATGGGACGAAAACCCAAAAATGAAGGAGAAGCTAGTGTGGTGGGCCTTTATTTGGGCCTTTTACACTTAAGTCATCTTTATGTCCAAATACAAGCTAATGGGCCCTAGAAATGCAAACAATTTCAAGACTTGTAGGTTAACGACTAATCGTTGATATGATTAATTACGACTATCTAATTAATCTCACACTTAATTCGTTCCATCATTCTAATGTACTTATCTCAATACACTAGCCTCGGTGTGGGATCCATAAGGTTCTAATTTGTGAGGTGATTAATACTAAGACAATTAAATCTTTTTGTTATTCTCATGTCACATTATATGACTAGTCATTAAGAGGACCTCACAAGGCATGAGTGACACCTAATTGCGTTTTATGACCACTAAAGCCAATATACAACATATTGGAAACCTATTAGTTAGAATTAGAATGCAATTCAATTTTTTTCTAAATTGATACTCTTTAATCACATCGTTAGAGTACGGATATTTTATGTCAAAATCCTAATAGGATGGTTATAGTCACTTAGGTGGAAAGTTATAAATTACACTCAGAGATTTTTCCTTTTTCTTTCTTTTTTCTTTTTTTTTTGTAAAAATTACATTGAGAGATTAGAAATGAAAGTTTTGAATTACATGGACTGAGAGGATAGTTACAAGCTAGCGCCTGTGTACTTTTTGTTAGATGTATGCCTTAAAACAACTTGTAGAACACGCATACAAAATAATTGCAGAAGGCATGGCTTGGTGCAGGAAAGGAGGTTCAATTTCCACAATTTTATTTTTGAGAATGATTCTTTTCAGATTGTCTCCTAATATGTCGATCGTTGGAAAAATTGTGGAAGATTGGATTCCAAGCAAATGTTGCAGCTCATTGCTGTGCTCGTTAGCCCTAGTTTGGTACTGAGGTGATTCTGAAAAAAATGGCTATCAAAAAAGGCTGAGAGCTTTTTTATTTTTGGTAAACATTCACCTTCATCTTTTTTTTTCACAGTTTTGGATGAAAAAAAAAACCAAAAACACAAAGCTGCAAAACCCAGCTTTGAAAAACCAACTTTTTTTCACATCTGTTTTACATAAAAGTTTATCAAATACTATAATACTGTTTTTTAATTTCAAAAGCATTTTTACAAAGAAGTTTACCAAACACTCTGCTGCTTTATTTCACAGCTACTTATTCTCGTAGCACAGCAAAAGCAAATTTTTTTCAAAATACAGCAATACCAAACCAATCCTTAGTCTTTTCAAACTGAACTGGTTTTTCCTGTAAATAATGATTCAATGACTGAATCTCCATCTGTAACCACCGATTTGCTACTTGAAGAGAGCCTCTTGTAACTCTTTGCCATTTAGGCTTGATGGGCTTGAGCCACAAGCAAGCTCTCAAAGTCAGGTCAAACTTTTTAGCCGACACACTTATTATAAATTGTAAAGTGCTAAATTTAATAACATAGATTTGTTTTTTAGTACATCGATATTTTTACATTAGGAAGAGGAGAAGTTCGACTAAACCACACAATAGGCAACCTAATTTGGTATCGAATTTGTCATCAACGAAATTCGAATCTAAAACCTTTAACTTCCAAATGAAGAGAAATACCATCAGATCATAGTACTGAGTAACAATAACACATATTTTTTAAGTCTAAACCATTTAACAAAGGAAAATATCGCAAAACGTTGGGTAAGAGAGATTAGAAAATGCATTATTTAAGCACTACAAGGGCAGAGGGATCAGCCAACCTCCTTTAAATGTGTAATCTGTCTCTTCTCCTCCATGCCCTTGAAACGCTCAAAAGTGCATTTCTTAATTACCCATACCCAACATTTTGTGAGCATTTTCTTTATATTTTGACTTTCAATCTCGTTACTCGGAAATTCCGCACCTAAACATACAAATCTAATTTTTTAGGGTTAAAAATAGAGAAAATCTTTATCAAGATTCCCCCTTTTTGTTCCCTTTGCCATTCTCTACTTGTATACAATAAAGAAAATTTCTTTCTTTCTCCCAAAACCAAAGATACAAAAAAGCCAAAGCCATTCTCTTGTTTTATAATTTCTGTTGGTCCACAATCTTCCCTGTCAACCCACCCACATGGAATCACAACAAACCGAGACCAACCCCAACAATCCCCCAACCCTCCCACATTGACCAACACCCTTCAAACTTCAAACACAATTAAGTTATAAAAGAAAGAGAGGTAGTTGTTGATGATAGAGAAAAAGATGACCCATTGTCCTCCAAGTTTCTTTGGACACCCACCTGATCCGCCCCGCTCCCAGCAGATTCCATCAAGCCACCCAAGCTGCCATCCCCAGCTGCACCAAATATCAAGTCAAAATTCTCTTCGAACCCCAAGTCCTCGAACAAGTCAGGTAACTCCAACGACTTGTCAAGGTGAATGTCTTCGGGAACTGGAAGCTGCTGAGTCATCATTCCGGTGTCCAAAAAGTTCCAACTAAACTGGTGCTCCTTTGCATGCTCAGGATCCATTACTTGCTCCATTGTATTGCTTCCGATGCAATGCAGCAGATGAGGGTAATGAAGTTGCGGCGAGATCATTCGTTCTTGTTTTAGCTCTTGTTTTTGTTCTTGCTGCTGCTGTTGCGGTTGCAATTGGTGCACTTTGCGTTGTTCTTGTTCTTGTTCTTGTTGCTGCTGCTGCTGTTGTGGTAGTAATGGGTGCACTTTGCGGTCGACTTCTTCTTCTTCTTCTTGGGGTGGTCCAATGTTCGAGCATGTGGAAGGCGGTTGACCCTCTGATTCTTGATGATCCAGAGGATGGATTTTCTTCTTGACTCTGTCAATGTAGTTGCTGATATCAAAATTGGTCACTGCATTTGTTCCTCTGTACTCTATCGCCGCCTTATCATATGCAGCTGCTGCCTCCTCTTGTGTATCTTCAAAAAAGCAAACAGTTAACGATCATTAAACGACTAATAAAACTACATCTGTGAACTACATTGTAGACCACAACCCAAATAGAGGCGAGACGTAATTCCATATATTTGTGAAACATACCCATCTCTATCAGTGATGCAGTCTACAGTGCGATACATAACTAGCGTTATAATTTTCTAACGACAATATTTTAGTAAAAATTACATATAAGTGAAGATTCATCCGTACAATTGCAACATGCAGTTAATCTATTGAGAATTTGTATGCCCCACAATACCTAATTTTTGAAGCATTAAAAAGCAAAAAAGAGGGTAGGAATTAGGTGAAGACAACTAGTACACTTTCACATCTAAGTTTCTCAAATTCCTTCTCCTTTTTATTTTTTAATTTTCCTTTGGGGTCTCAATTCAAACAACAAACATAAAAAGTGGAAAACAAAAATGAAAAATACAGAGAAAATAAGATACACCGAACCTGAAGCAATGGATCTATGTTCCCCGACACTACATAATTCATGCTTTAAAATATATTTTATCTTGGATTTCAAACCCTAATTATTTTTCCCTCTTGTGCGCGTGCGCAACTCTCAGCCGTTAACAGATTTTAACCACACAACGAGAGATGTATCCATCAACGGTTGAAAATCGTCCACACGCGAATGAGAATGATCACAAGGTTTCTAGTCTTCTTTTTCTCTAAGAAATAAAGATGGGACAAATGGGAAGCAGACGCTCAACACAGACAAGATTTGGACGGTTAGGATCTGGCAGGAAAGCAAAACCCAGGTCCAGGAAGACTTGGCACACCCAGAGAGAGCCACAAGGGGAGCAATAAGACACGTGACCACCCGTGCCTGTCGCTTTTTAAAAGGTTTTTTGGATCAAAACCAAAAGTAAAAAATGAAAAGAAAATAACAATAAATAAATAAAAGTCTTGAAAATCTGATCCTGTCTTCTGAAGAAAAGAAAAATACAGGCCACTTTTAATTAATTAATTAATTAATTTTTCAAAAGGAAGTCACGTGCCCCCACTGCTGGCACTAAAACTCTAGTA